ATTAGTTGGGTTATTAACTTTAGTAGTAGTAGTAGTATTAGTAGTAGTAGTAGTATTAGTATTATTAGTAGTTCTTTATTCATTTCATTTGCAACACAGATGAACAAAGTACAGACAAACAATCAAAATAAAATCAAATAAAATGAAAGGCAGCAGAAGAAGAATAAATCTTATTTCTGCCCCTTTTTATACCAAAAATTTGTTCAAAAGAAAAGTAAAAACAACAAAAATCAAAACAAACTAAAACATTTTAAAAAGGGAAAAAAAAGACTAAATCTAAAAACAAAAATAAACAAAATAAAAACATCTGATTAAAACTTGAATCTGATTCTGAAGTAAAAACAAACCTCCTGCTCTTAGCCAGAACCTCCGAACCGAACCGAACCGAACCGGTTCTGGTTCTGCTGAGCCTCGTGAGTCTCAGGGAGGAGCAGAAAGTGAGACCTGAAGGAGGTCCGTGTGTGTGAGGAAGAGGAGGAAGAGGAGGAAGAGGAGGAGCTCTCCTCCTTCAGTGCGTCCGGAGGTTCTGCAGCAGCCGGAGAGCAGAACCCGCCTCAGCAGCACGAACCGGACCGGCTCCCACCTGAGATGCGCGTCCTCCTCCCGCCGCCTTAGGTGTGACTTCCTGCACGTGGAAAAGTTCGGTTCCGCTCATGGCCTTCCCTCAGGGCTTCCTGTTCCAGCCGCCCGGACCTCTGGCTCTGCACTTCGGTTCCGGACTCATCCTGGGACCCAGGACGGAGGAGTTCGGCCGCTCCGGGTCCGCCTTCTCGCCCTACTCCTCCTCCTCACACCTGCAGTTCGGCTCGGAGCCGCGGGCCGCCGGAACCATCAGCTCCTATGTGGTGAGTGACCGGACCGGTCCGAACCTGGGTTCTGGTTCTGGCTTTTAAATCAGGAAAATTAAAAAATGAAACCTTATAGAAACAGTTTTTTTCCTTGTTTTTATTCTAATAAAATAAATTAAAACTAATTTTCTGAAGAAATAAAAACAATAAAAACTTTATTTTATTGTTTTCTGGTTTATCAAAACACTTAATGTT